TGCATGAACTAGGTTTGAGCGATGCGCAGGTGTCCAAGGCCATTGCCAGCTCTCCGCAGTTGCTCGGGTTGAGCATCGAGGCAAACTTGAAGCCGACAGCGCAGTGGCTTCGTGAATTGGGCTTGAGCGATGTGCAGGTGTCCAATGCCATTGCCCGCTATCCTCCGTTGCTCGGGTACAGCATCGAGGGGAACCTGAANNTGCATGAACTAGGTTTGAGCGATGCGGATACGCTAAAAGTAGTTGCCGCCTTTCCTGCCTTGCTATGGTTGAGCATCGACTGCAACCTCAAGCCGACCGTGGAGTGGCTGCATGAGCTGGGATTGAGCGATGTGCAGGTGTGCAAGGCCATTGTCAGCTTTCCACATTTGCTTGCGTGCAGCGTGGCAAAGAACCTTTGCCCGAAGTTTGGCCTCTTGCAGAGCTACTTCGATGCCTCCTCTATTCGGGACATGATCGCTGCTTGTCCTACATTACTGTCATATAGCCGAGCTCGATTAGAGCATCGGCTTCGCATCTTGCATGGTCAAGGCCAGCTCTCCAGGCTCAAGTCTGTCATGAGCCTGACCGATGAGCGCTTTAGGCTCAGGTTTCCGACGTGAGCTGCTGGCGAATTTGCAGAGGCGCCTAAGACCCCTTCAGGCTTGCATCAGCTGAAGTCAAGAAGGTGAAGATGGCACCGGTGAAAGCAGTGATCTGAAGTTGGAACGTGTAGACAAGCTCAGAGCTGCCATCTTTCTCCCAAACGCAAACCTAAACCCTAATAAGCCAGACAGTACGACCTGAGTCATCAAAACCCCTACACCACCCACTTCAATAATTCAGAAATTCCAGCTATGGTTTGACCGCATTCCTGTACACCTCCCTAAACCCCTAAACCCCTAAACCCTAAACCCTCTCGCCAGGATGACGCATCGGCGGAGTGAGGCCTGGTGGGTTCCTTCTCGCGCTGCACTGCTCAGGGCTTGTAGTTTCACAAGTCGGTCCTAGGGAGTCCGGAGAAGAAGCTACTCATACATTGAAACATACCTGACCATAATAAGTTCAGCGAGTTTCCCCGAACCCGAGAACGAACACCGCTTGGGGGTTAGACTTGCGGGTTTTAGATAAGCATCGTTCGGGAAGGCATGTATCCATCGAGCCTGGTGGTGGGGTGTAAGCCAGAAACCCTTAATTGCAAGCTTGTTGTTTTATAGCTGAATTAGCTGCATGCTTAATCCTGAAAGCCTTGAAACTTGAATCCTAAAACACTTCACATCCTCAACAGCTAGTGCAGCTAGTGCAAAAATGGAAACCGAAACCCTAACTCAAGAACAAGCAGCCCAGGCCTCCTGCAGACTTTGAGGACTTTCGGGCCGAAGCAATTGAAATGTCCCTTAGTCAATGAGTGGCCCTGTGTCAAGAATATCCATCAACGGAGCCGTCGTGGAGAATTTCGACTTTCACGTACGGAATTTGTTTTTTGGTGAAAGTGAGAATCCCGACTTTGGGGTCCCTGGGAACCCTAAACTCCTCAACCCTATAGAAACTCCCAGCCCTCACAACCCCCCACAACGTTCCCTAAACCCCAAAGACGCGAAAAGAATCAATATAACTAGAACATGCTTCAAGAACCCTTCTAAAATCCTTACAACAGCCCTTACACAACTATCCCAGAACCGAAGACCCCGGCAAGGCCTCGATGTCCCAGCGGCTGATGAGTTCGGCGAGTTGGGCTCCCCAAGTTCAGGGTTTCTGACGATGAAACCTTCCGTCTTTTCTTAACCCTAAGGCTCTAAGGACTCATATTCTAAGGCTTTTGGGCCCAAAGACCATACTACATAGGGCTTTTGGGCTATTTCGAGCCTTAGGGTAAAGTTAGGACACGGTGTTTATGGGCGTTTCCTCTAGGAGCCTGACTATAAACCCTAAGCCCTAAATCGTAACATATCTTAGTAGGTCCTATGGCTGTAACGGTTATGCTCCGGAAAGGCTGAAACCGTGAAAGTAAGCCTTACAATGCCTGGAACACCATGTCTTTGTAGGGGCTACAGGGGCTCTTGGGACTGAGGATTTGGGGCTTACCCTAAGGCTCGACATAGCACAAAAGCCTATATAGTATGGTCTTTGGGCCCNNAGAATATGAGCCCTTAGAGCCTTAGGATTAGGGTAAGTCAAACCCACAGCTCTTGGTCCTGATATGGGGATGTGCATATTTAGTGATGCTTCCACCCCCCCTCCCACTCTCGTCAAATTGCG